GCTACTAGAACCGTTCTCTCACATGGGCGATTTGGTTAAGGCCACGAGTTATCTGAGAGTTTATGGTGTTAAGAGCTGTTGTGCTGTGCACTTTACGTAATTCATGCTGATGCTTCGCTAGGGTCAAGTGCTTTGTGTCATGCGGAAGTAGAATGGCATCTAGAGTCTTTGGACTCTCTTTTGTTGGACGGTTTCTCCGGTTTAAGCAGTGGGACCACTCTCCCCATTTCCCATTATCTGGAATGATAAGGGGTGGCCATATACAGGAGGATCATGTCGGTGAGGATCGTGATCGGTTGGTTTGGGTAGGGCAGTGAAGGCGCTTTCAGTAACATCCGCGAAGCCTTTCCAATCAGCTTTGGAGAAGTTGATACAGACAGATGGTCTGATGCTAAGGTCAGCATAAGTCGCCATGATATGCTGTTTATCAGACCAGACAATTGTTAGGTCTGGCAAGCTGCAGCAGCTTCTGGTGGGTGCGTCGTCGTTCATTGTGCAGTATGTCGAATCGTCTATCTGATCAGCCAAGTGTGTTTCCCTACGATATTTTGAGATCGACATCACCTGACCGGATAGCAACACCCTGACATTCTAGGATGGTATGTCTGTTTCCATAAGACGATACTGCACGGTGTGGTGCGTGATGAACGCTAGGCCTCGACGGTGCACATTGTATCCGGCGCAATTCAACAGAGTTTGCGACTAGGCAGCACGTTGTCACTCGTCCAATCACGCGTGCAGCGGAGTCCGGAGCATGCGCTAAAGATTACTCCACCCGTCACAGGCGTTGCACCGAGGTGGAGTTTGCATGGATTCGTTTCTGGCATACGCAGCAGGTATGCCTTATGACCCTGGGTTTCACTATATGCCAGTCCTAAGCAGAGTGGGGTTATATCGCCGAAACAGCCCCTAATCGCGTAGAACCCGAGTCATTCCGGTACGTAGAGCCGGCTGTCGTGAAAATGCCGAGTTTTCTCTCGACGGCCCTGGTTATACATGTGTATGTATGTATATTAGGGTGGTCCAAAAAACCAAAGTTTATTTTAGAGACCAAGGGACCCTCCAATTTTGTTACATATAACGAAAGATTAATCTAGGCAAAATTTTAGCTCTGTAGAGCATATAGAAAGCAGTGCTCAACAAGGTTTAGTTTTCATAAATTCTGTAAAATTTTATTTGTTTGTTTTTAAGGATTCAGAAGTTAAAAAAGGTGTGGTCTTCAATAAATTTGATACTAATCATGTTATCAACCCCTTTTTTATTCCAGATTTAAACTATACTTCAATCAAAATGAGTGCGCTTAAGAC